CCCTGTACAAGCCCACCCCGTACAGCAACAACAGCAGCAGACATTGACCACCAGCCCTCCGCCGGAAACGCAGGTGACAATGCCCGTAGTGTTGCACCCTCATGCACGACGGGGAGGCTGCGATGGCATGGCTCAACGACGCCATGCATGTGTTGGTCTGGGTGTATCTACAAGAATTTTCATTCTGTGTGACTTGCCCGCTGCATTCGCCTACTCGGTGCTGTAGTACAGTAATCCAGTTCGGGTATTTTTGTGCTCGATGCTCTAACATCCCACTGTGCTGTAGAATCGTCCACACCCCGAAGCACGTGCAGCTGTCTAACCCGTCGTATTGCGGTTTGAAAACTAGGTGTACTTTCCGGCTGTGTTAAAGGCGAAGCTGGAGGCAGTGCAGACGGAGGGAAAGACGCTTGAAGACGTGGAGGAGGAGGTGGTGAGGTTGTGCGCCGGTGAAGGGGCGATCCTTTCTACCGCGAAGTCGACGAGGTGTCGCGACGGCGCAACGGATCGTGTGGACATGAAGAAGCTGATTTGTACCCGAGGCGGGAAGAGCCGTCAACTGGAGTACGAAGCCAGTCTAGACACCGGTAAGCGTTCCATCCGTGGCACTTGGGCATACTAGGAGAATGGTTGAGGCGACGAATACGGGGCGAGTCGCGGGCAAGCCTGTTGTTAGCATGCATGCTTCGGTGCAGGTGAATGCATGACACACCGCCGGTGACACACCGCCTATACTCCGTCTCCCATGTCGTTGCGTGTTGCAGCACCTGGGGTACAACGGCGGAACGTAAAGGGAAGCGCGAGGACTGGTTGTCCGTTTGAGGTACGTAGCTGGTCTCCCGCGGAACATGTCTTGGTGCAGTGGACGGAGAAAGGGTCCAACAGGTGTCTGAGGTCTTCGAGCGTGAGATTGAAAAGATGTCCGAACTGCGTATTTAAAATTGGGGAGGGGTCGGTCGGGTGTCTTGTGATCCATGATCCATGTTGTGATCCATTACACACACACGTATCCCACGTATCCATCGTTTAATTATTCCTCTTCTATCCTTGTTGTGGACCCACCGTTCCGTTATTTCAGGTTAGCGTCCGGCACGCGAAGTCCCACAGGTGGCCCAGGATTAGCAACATGAAGCTCACGCACAACCACAGCGTCGACCGCAAGGCCATCGACGTCAAGCTTCGCCTCGCATCAAAACTAACGGAGGAGCAGCTGGGTCAAGTGAAACAGATGACAAGTGAGAAGATTGAACTCGTTGGAGTAGGTCTACAGTGGCTCCCGTCGTGTCCCACGGTTTGTCATGGTTGGTAGTCATGATGCCGCATGACGAACGGCCCTTGAAGCGTGGTACTGCTGTCGCCTCCACATTGTTACCCTGTTTGTCTGTGACACGCCACATATTTTTGTGCTCCCGGCTCTCCCATACGGCGCAGGTCATGGGATGAAGCCAAAAGAGGTGACAAAAGCAATGAAGGCGTTGCACGAGGACAGCGACATCGACATCAACAAGCGCGCGGTGCAGAACGCGGCTGCCACTGTGCACGGGGCGGAGAAGCCGAGAGATGCCGCCGATGCGTACGAAGAGGTGTGTCCATGTGTCCGTTGAGACTGTTGCCTCTCTTGTTTGTGTGTGGGATGTTGGGTTTGCTCAAGGCGGTAACCGGGCGACAAGACACATACGATCGCAGGTGACAACCGGGAGAATATATGCCCCATGACACCAAACCAAGAAATGTTGGAAGTAAAAAATGTGTGCCGTGCCGTCGTCGTGGTTTTGCGCTGATGCCCTCGATGTTTCCGGGCGCTTAACATGTTGCAATTTCAGGTCATGGCCGCGACGGCCGACGGCGGAGTGTGCGAGATCAAGATAGATGACAGCGGCCGCCTGACGCACATCTGGTGGCAAACGAGAGAGCAGGTAGGTCGCTGGTCGTTGTGCCCCATACGAATATTCCCCAGCCGGAAGGTTTGCTTTCATTTTAGCATCTCGCACGTACCGCTTGGCCGTCCGCAAATGTAGGACGTCTGACCGAAAGCAGGCCGTAGGCAAGGGTGGGGGTGCGTTGTGACGCGTCCAACACACGTCACACCCACAATTAAGTGCTCTCGATCCCCTTCGACGTCATGCTCCGAATACGCAGGTGGCGCTTTGGAATCGGTACGGTCACGTTGCGCTCTACGACGACACCGCCGTCAAGAACAGATACCGGATGCCCCTCGGTGTGCTCGCTGTCATCGATTCGGAGTATCGGACGCGGATCGTCGGCCAAAGCATAACGGCGGACACCACAACGGACACTTTCCTGTGGATGTTGAGGAGTGCGTTGGAGTCTCGCGGGGGGAAGCAGCCGGATATCTTCATCCAGGACGCGGACGCGGCGATGACGGCGGCGGTGCGAGAGGTGTTCCCGGACGCGCTGGCGAGGCGCTGTTTATGGCACCTCAACCAGAACATCATCAAGGCCCTCGCTAAAGTCCTTGGTGGGGACATGAAGGTGCGCTCTACTGTGTGAGTTGGCGTGGTTAGTCTGCCCACTCTAGCCCCCTCCCCCACTCCCGCTTGTATCCCCTGTGCGAGTTGGTGCGTTGTCATGGATCAGTGGCGTTGTCGTCTACTTGGAAGAGTGATATCCAGCGTCTTTGCGTAGACCGTGATGCGGAGACGGCCTCGGCTTCGACGGAAACATACCTCACGACGTCCAGTGCACACAGAAAAAGCAGCAGCAGCAGCAGGTTGTAAGCATCAATGGTATGTCGCTGAGTTTTTTCAACCCTCTCCTCGTCTCGCCTTAGCGCTAACGAAGTGTACGGGGTTGTTGGTGGCAGTCAATCGTACAGACCGGTAGCCCATCGCCCAGGCCCCAACTCACGCAACACCCACCCGGCCCACGTCGTTTGTGTTTTCCGCAGCCTTTCATGGACGAGTTCAGGTGTGTGCGTCAGCAGCTGTCATTGGCGAAGTTCGAACGGAAGTTCAACGCCCTCATCGAAAAGTACCCGAAGGCGGAGAAGTACATGCGAGTGGTATATGACGACCGCGCACGGTGGGCGGAATATGTGTCGCCCCTGGTGTTCTCCGTGGGTTCGTGGACGACATCAAGAGTTGAAGGTGCGTTTATGCGTCATCTGCCATGAGCTTTTTTGTTCGAGAACGACAGCGCATATAGTGTTGTCGTTGTTTTTGGGAGTTTTTCTACGTCTGTAGGGGTTTGGGGCGGCTATCTTCCTTGCCCCCTATTTACTATGCCATTGGTGAGTGCTTCTGGACGAATTTATCGTACGCCGTCAGTGAATGACCAGTAAACAACTCCCTACATGACGCTAATGTTTACGACCTCTTCGAAACATGTGGCTGTTGTCCGGCCCCAGTTGTTCGGGATTGATGTACTTGGTCGGTGCACTGCGATCGTCCGGCTCACGTGTACATACATCTGTGGCGATGGGTGCGTCAAGTCATAGGCTTCTCTTTCAGTCGTTTGGCGTACTGCGACTTCGACGATGTCTGATGACACCAATCACTAACCTACGGTTTGGTTTGTGTGTCGCTTCTTGCGTGTTTGTCCGCCGCACACACAACAGGCCAAAACGCCCTCATCAGGGATAAGTGCAACTCGCGCTCCTCGCTTTTGGACGTGGCGAAGTACTTTTCGGGCATCATCTGTTCCCAGAAGGATGCCGCCATGCTGCGTGACGCCATCGACCATCTGCCGCCCAATCGGATGGCGGCTCCACCAGCGACCGCTTTCAAAAGTGTGCTCGAGTCCTGCGAGTTCTCCATCGCGGGCTGGCCGCGGCGGTTCATGGAGCAAGAGATGACCGCGGCCATCACGTTTTGCCAGATGGGTGGTGGGGAGGTGGATGGACCAGAACGCGCGGCAGCTTTGGGACGCACGTTCGAGTACATCGAGGACAAGCTTTGCGACGTCATCTACGTCTTCGGGATTCACGAGCAGCGTGATGACAAGGCCTTCGACTACCTTGTCTTGCTCTTTTCCGACGGTAGTCATCTCTGCCAGTGCCGCACACTCCAAACTCTCGGGCTATTTTGTCGCCACGTGTGGGCGGCGATGATGTACAGCCCCCGATTCAGATTCCACGTAGGCCTCCTGCACGAGCACTGGCTGACGGAAAATGCGAGGGGAACACCGCAGCAGGACTGGCCGGATGTCGCCCGCCCTCGATGGGTGGTATCCAACCGCCACGCTGCGGGAGAAGTGGACGGGGCGGCGGGAGAGGGAGAGGGAGAGGGGGTGGGGGGATGCAGCGGGAGGTGGAAGTCTTTCGTTGGGAGCAGCCAGACGGTGCAGACGGTCCTGTTGGACTTGAAGGAGAAGGGGCCCACGGACCAGGATAGACAAGTGTTGTACGCCGACGTAACGAAGAAGCTCGGGCAAGCCGCGAGTATTTTGTCTGATCGCTTTTCACCGACAGTCGCCGTAGCCCTCGTGGACCAATTTCTGACGATGGTCAATGTGCAAGCAGGCGGGGTGGGAACTACAACCAACCACGGGAGGGCGGGGGGCGGCTCTTTTCATGGCCAACCCTGGAACTGTTCGCCTGCCCGCTAGGACAAGTAATAAAAGACGACCTGGCGCTGTAGAAAGATACACAAGAGGGGGTAGCAAGAGAGCCGCGACTTCGGGGTCCCAACTCTAGTTTCGGTGTTGCATTCTTGGGGTACGTGAGTAGCGGTACGCGGCCCTAGGTTTACGACGTCACCCGGGCATATGCCTGAACGATGTTTTGTCCCCGGCGGCAGGTCAAGGCTCGGTGTGTTGTTTATTTTTCGCTTCCGCGTTTTTGCGCCGATCGCCGTCTATGATGTTGTCGTTTTTGTGTTTGTATGTCTATTTGGTTGTTGCGGTGTAGCGTTCCATGGGACCATCTGGTTCCTGTCCTGTTTTTATTTCGTTTGTTCCAGTTCCTTTTCTTTCTTTCTTCGTCCGCCCCCTTTTTTGCCGTGTTGGGGTCATATCCAGGCCCTTTCTTTTTTTGGTGGGGGTCAGTCTATCATGAAATCGCTCTTGGATGTTGTTTTTTCTGGGTTATTTTTTCTGCCTCTATCTGTGCTTGTCGGCCTGTGTGCTCTGCGAAGAAAACCGTGTGAGCCGCGTCTCGAGTTTGTTGAGCGGGCCTGCGATGTGCGAACTAAACGATGCCTACAGATTTTGACGGCCCCATGATGACTGACATCCATCACGGCAGCACCGTGCAGCAGGTTATATCTACCAAATACTGCTGTCTGTATGCTGCGACAAAATCTACAGCAACAATTGCTTACAGCAGCAGCACAGCACAACAACAGCAGCAGCAGCACCACACGAACAACACCACCAGCAGCAGCAGCAGCACCACATGCGGATAGACACACAGAGAGAGAGACGAGCACTTCTCTAAGTACGGGGCGTTGTGTGTCGTCGTGTCCTCTTGTTCCTCTGAGGCCTAGCGTCTCCTGGGCATCCCGGGTGCGAAGGGTGGCCTTGGCGTGATATGTGCCAGTATGGCGTATGGACTGTTGGGGTTGTTGCTGCAGACGAGAGCTCTGCTTCCGAAGACAACGGGCGTTAGATCCAGGCTCCGAGATAATTTTGAATCTGAGAGAGAGAGAGGAGAACCTCTTCGGGGACGCTCCGGGCGGTTTCCCGGGGTTTCGATCCGTCTGGATGTTTGGACTGTGGTTCTCTTTTATAATCCATGGATTGCAAATATTCGCGCCCGCAAGAATGAGCATGGGTTGTGGTACAGAACCCGCCCGCCCGCACTTACGAACCTCTATTATTAATAATAGCTTCGGCCGAGGCTGCGTGTTCCTAGGGTCGTGCTTCGAATGGTCGCTATAAAGGTTCTAGGGTATGGCTTCTTAACCTAGCTCACAAATGGTGCTCAAGTTGTTGAATACTGGTGCGTTGGACGACTCGTTCGTGATTCCTGCTTCGTATTCTACGTCAACACCAATACGACGACCAGCGGGTCGAAGGTGTCAAACCCAGCGGTGTCAAACGCTGTGTTCCGTGGCTGTAATATACATACTGCGGAACAATAGGTAGGTGCCAAGATGTAAGATTGGGTTCTTTGATGCTTTGAGATTCGTGGGGGACATGACTTGGGGGGCGTTTACTGGGAACAAGCCTGTACGGGTACGGTACGGAAAAACCGCGAGCTGCGGTTCTGACTTGTGGGAAACTCCAATCCGAATCAAAGCTTCGAGAGTACCTGGTATCGGGATAATGTAAAAATGGTAGGCTTCCTGTGTGTAATTATTTTTCCTAATAAAGGTAGGCGGAGATCTGGGGGAAGAATGGAAGAAACACAACATCGTCAGGGACAAGGGCAGAGCACACTGCTGCTTGTGTTTTCTACGTTTACCGGAAAACTTAAAATGCCAACATGAGTATCATGACACACGAAACCGGCTGGCCTGTAGCCTGTAGTTGTGAGACTCCCGTTCGGTAGGGGGGGCGGGGATGCCCGAACAGCCCTACAGCGTGCAGGGGCCGATGTCATCACATGTCTGCATGCGCTTGGAACCAAAGCGCCATCTTTCAAACTTGGACTCTTACTGCTGCACAGAGAAACAAATTGATTTGTGTTCTGCTGCGTAATAAAAAGCAAGCGAGGGCCGTGGTCCGGGAAATCGACGTCAAATCTTCTGATCTATGCATACAGCAACAAAGAGTCCGCTTCCGAGTCTGCTCTCATCAGGAAATTGATGCTTGGTTGCATTTGACCGCGGCGCTCATGCATCCAGCATCACACAGCAGCAGCAGCAGCAGCAGCAGCAGCATCGGACAGAAGCAGAAGCACACTTTGTTCGCCCACCACTCTACACACTGCTGCATCACACTGGCAAGCTAGTAGGCCGTGTGTGAGATAAAGGATGAGCTGTCTGTAGCATGTGGTTGTCTGCCGACTGTAAGGGGACTGGTGTTCTGGTGTTCCATGACTGCTGCTGCTGTTTACTTCCTGCTACCAACGTGTTCCGAGAGAGAGAGCACGAGTAAAGTATGTACACAGCAGCAGTTGGAGGCTGAGGAAGAGTGTAACATATTTCTCTGAGATCGACAATCAGCCAACAAACTAATAACCAGACGTGAGCTCCAACGACGGAACACGACTCTAGAAGGTCGTCTTGCCTTGCAGCACTGCTGCCTATGTTGTACGCTGGTGCATCCTAAAAGACTGCTGCTGTGTAGTGTGCCCGCAGGGGCCGCGCCCCACAGGTAAGGTTCCGAGAAACGCGACTCCACACACGAAGTTTAAGTTTCGTACCTTCTTCGACCGTCTCTCCGGATAGTAGTTGCCCCACGGCATGCTGCTCAGCCAGCAGCAGCAGCAGCAGCAGCCCCCCCAGCGAGAGGGAAGCGCATTCTAGAAGCCGCTTCATGCTCCCTTACTAATGAGCGAGGAGACAGCGAGAGGCGAGCGGAGAGAACATGACAAGACCCCAGAACCCACCCGGGGGCGCCGTGTCGGGAGGTGGGTACCCGGGGATCCACACACGGAGCACGAGCGAGAATGGAATCCGGACTCGCGAAAGCCACAAGCTCTCTGCTCTCGTCTGTAGGGAAAGACAGAGTGCAAGGTAGCAGTGGCACACATTTACTGAAATGAGAGATGAGATCGTGAGTGGCGCCAACGTCGGCGTTGCAAGCTGACACTACCGCGCTGCTGTACTGGTTGTTGAATCCGTTCTGCGTACAAATAGCGAACTCCGCCATCTACGAGCATAATTTCCGTGATAGATTGTAGCGATACCGGTACCCGTCGCACAAGCGTGCAGTACGTGCAGTACATCCGCATGCGCCACAACAGCTGTGGACCATGGGGCACGTTTGTTTCACTCTACGCAAAGGCTGGACACAGCTTTGCATTCATATCTCGTCTACGGATGATGGATCTCGGATCAATAGTGGATGATAAAAATGTGAGTAAGAAGAGTGAGCAACACCTACCTCTGGACTTTCAAACATGATCAAATCCACCAATTGCTCCTCCCAAACACTCCCCCTTAGCCGACTGCTCATGCCGAATAGCAGGTCACGACGCTCACTCCACCTTCGAGGTATTTCCTTCTTGGGGCAAGCGAAACCCAACGACTCTTTCATTTTTTGAAACAACGAGACTCCTTCAAGATTGCCTTGAAGAGACAACTTCTTGCAGAACATCATGTCATCCAGAAAGCAAAGACAGACAGACATATTATTCTTAAACGTTGCAGCACTCGATGTGTGCAGTATAGGTATGGATTGGTCGGTCTTCAAAGAATAGATGTCCACGCACGCAAAAAGGTAAGTTAGCGCAGAGCTCCTGTTGGATATCGAACAAAGAAATTGCGCCTGCACTTGAGAAAACCTCTACCACATAGATAGTTTTTGCCCAGCAGCCAGGCTATAGGGTTCTTCATTCCTCTCGCTGTGGGCTACCAATGACTGCTATTAACGTTTTGGTGTGGGGTTCTTATTCGGGCCCACAACTATCGCCCATGCACTTGTAGTGCCCAAGTGCTTAAGTTTGATACAATGCTGGGCGTGAAGTTCTATTTTCTGCCGAGCGAGGTCTGAAGTGCGGGCGGGCGCGATGTATGTGATGTACATAAACTCATCTCGAAAATTGAAAGTCGATCAATTCTTGCATGGGGAGGGGTGACCCTAAAAAAGGCGACATCTATCTCTCCCCACGCCTGTCGAGAGGGGCTGACTCCCTCTTCTTCACATTGGCGTCGACGAAAATATGTCTGGTCTTGGTGGAAGATAGCCGGGATTCAAAATCGTGGACGACGTGTTGTACCGCGCTCCCACCCCCCGTCGGCACTCACGAACAAAAGGTTGTGAAGAAGAGGAGTGGATCGACTCATCGCGTTAAAATATCAGTCGGGCCAATCAAAGCTTGTTTTTCTCATTCAATTCGTTGCTGCTGTCTTGATAATACATGTGTTCTCGTTGACTCATTCCTCGCCTCCCCGATGCCATAAATTACTCACGAAGCCTGCCTATCGTATGTATGTATGTATGTGTCTCTCGCACTGTTTGTTATACCCTCCTCTCTCCCGTCTTCTAGCAAGAAAATCACCACACACATTAAACCCAAGCGAGCCATCGCCAAGGCCTGTCGTGTGCCATGAGCTTCCGCGATGTGGACGCAAGATATTTTAACGACCCCCCCGACACGCACGAAAGAGGTTCCAAACAACCGTCAATCCTATCCCCGCGCCCGATGGGCGCATAGTCTCCTCGCGCACGACACAACGTTAGCGCCAACACAACAACACCTGTAGACCATGTTTGTTTTAGTTTCCTCAAACAAAGTCTCTTCCTTATTCCTTAGATTTCCGAGGCCCGCCCCCTCATGCGCCTCCGACCCGCTGCCTGCGTACGACCCCTCCCGTCTTACGCATTTTGTTGCTTCTACAGCTCTCCTCTCGTACTTAGGAGACGGCCTGGGTGGTGCTCAAAATTTGGTGAATTTGTCATCAGGCATCCCTCTCCTCTGCCCCACCTCACCTTCCCAAAAAAATGCCCACCCCCTACACCGGTCTGTCTGTGCTCTAGCGACGTCTAGTTCACTATACACGCCGGCAGTGATACCCACCCACCACCACCACCATAAAGGAGGTTTTTAGCGAGAAAGGGCTGCAGTGTTGCATGTATGTATGTATGTATGCAAATTGTAGGTGGTGTAAGGGCTCTCCCACAGGTAGTACATGTTCTTCCGCACCATTTCTCCTCCTCCCATCCACCCGCCCGACCCGCGTAAGAGAGGGGTTACGAGAGAGAGAGAGAGAGAGTGACCCGAGAACGTTTCCTTCCCTTTTGCCAGCACCCTCGTTTTGACCAGGGATTGAGTCGTCATGCATCATCGACCAAAATACTCGCAATAGTGAGTGGTGTTTTTTCAAGCATGAGCTCTCTCGCCACTGTGGCGATCTTGTCTTCGTGATACCGGCGGCGGCTCGTCAGACGAAAGACGAAGCCCGAATAGTGGGAGATGGTGGCCATGAATGATCAACAACAACAACGCAACGTGGACCCTCTGCAGGAGTATTTCATTGACACCCAAAAACCAAATCAGTATAACAACCATCCCGACAGAACCCTACTCCGGCAATGCTAGTTTGCCTGCACCGCGAACACATGCTTGCGGCACCGCTGACTGCCACCACGACATGATGATAAATCGGCACGCCTCCTTGTCCACAGACGACGTACCACCCCTCTGTCTTGATATGGTCAACGAGCAATGTCGGCATCATCATCACTGCCGTTCATGGGGATGGATGTGAGGGTCGCGGATCTTGAGACGAAAGCCATCATCATCAGAGTACGATACTTCGCCTTCCACCCATTTCCGCCGCCCCCGACATCTGGCAAAGACAAAAGCAAAGATGGCCGGACGTACGTACGTACGTACGGCCCATCCGACATAGAAGTAGAATATACACAGCTTTGGCACGAACAGCAAACAACCCACACGATTCCCCCCATCCACCGCCCCAGATCTGGTGCCCCTCGTGACAAAAAAAAAACTCTTCACTGTCTGGGTGAAAAAGGCGGACAAGACATAGGCTACATACAACCGACAAGCAACCACCCTCGAACACAGAAATCTATCCTCGGCCGTACTTCGAGCCCGCTGAATGCAAAATATATCATCATCATCGTCGTGCAGGATGAAACCAGTTGAATGTGTGCTTTCAGCTGAACAAACTGACCCGGTGCACATAGCTCATAGACTACTGTACTACTACCAACATTCTCATCTACTTGTGTTCCCCCTCCGCGACCCCCCCCCGCCCCCCGCACAATAAAGTCCAATTCCAACATGACAAGGCGACCAACTCTCGTCGGTGCAACGCGGAGTGTGTGTCATCTGTGGAGAACGAACGGTAGGGAAGAACCGATTTGCGTCGGCAACCAAACAAGCCGTCAAACTTCATCATAATTCGTCGTTCATACACATGCAATGCGTACGTCTTTCGCGAAGACATACATGCCGAGCCGCGTCGCTCTCATATGCATAGCTATACACCAAGATCAACTCCCCCCACTCCTCCCCCCTTCCCTGTTAGCGTATTCTACCCCCGCACCATGCTGGATAAAAATTGCCGCGTTTTGACGAAGTCCCATGTTCGTGTACAAAAAAAATGACACAGGACAAGGCCGAGAGGGCAATTTCAGAGAAAATGGACCGTGGTACGATAATCGGCATATGTGTGCTTGTTCGGCTTTGGGTCGCATCGAAAGGGTGCTCTTCGTCCAGCCGACTGAACAAAAAATATTTAGACGCGCATGCATGCCCGCTGATACGTTTCTCACGTGGATACACATGCATGTGCATGTCGGGTCGGAGAAGAAGCAGCAGTATCGGCAGAAGCAACACCACCAAACATGACCATCTCCGTCCGCATCATATGGAAGTACATGCGCACAAAACCTTGCGCCCCCCACGTCATCCCTCGTATAATCACGTATCATCAGTAGATGCAACACACTCGCGGGGAATTCCGTGATTCATGGTCCGTCGACCGGCAGCCGGCCGTTCGGCAAAAAAGTAACAAAAACAAAAAAAATGAACAGCGCAAAATACGCCTCCCTCCGTAAGGATGTGTGTGCAAAACGACGCTTGTGTTCAGACCTGCCTCGATGGTGTGAGATCAATGTTGAAAAAAACGCGTTCCAATCATCCCTCACCATGATCTTCGTGTAGGTCAGCATCATCACAGCAGCAGTGCCCTTTCATCCGGTGCCGGGGGGGGGGGGGGGGGGGGGGGGGGGGGAAAAAATTTCCCGGGTTTCCCCCCCCAAAAGGTTTTTAAAAAAAAAACCCCTTGTTGGGGGGCCCACAAAATTTGGGGGCCGCCCCCCCCCCAATGTTGGAGTTTTTTTTTGGAAACCCCCAAAGGGGCCACCCGGGGGAAAAAAAAAAAAAAAAGGGGGGGCCCTTTTAAAGGGGGGGGGAAAAGTGGGC